CAGAAAAGGATCTGCCCCGCAATGCATTGCAGCGCTGACGTCATGTCCTTGATCTTGGTCTCCAGACATCGGACGTGTTCCACACGCAGAGGTTGTTTCTGCGTCAGTGGGCTCTTGGTAAGGTACATATCTCGGGCAACCCCTTTGCACCGCCCTGACACCACTGCACGGACATCCATCAACCGCAGTTTGATTGTCGAGTCAAGAAAATGTATTGCCTCAATCATGTGCTGTGCCGTGGTTGCCCCTGCACCATCTTCTCTCATTGCACAGAGGGCTGCATACAAATTTTCTTCTGACATTCTCAGCGGGTTCACAACACCCAGGCTCCGAAGGATCTTTGAGAGGCGCCACAGTGAACTTGCACGCTTCTGCAGTGTCGAGGATGCCTTCGATCTGAAGCAATCGCTCAGGGACTGCTCCACAAGGGCTTGGGAGCAGCCCCCTTTCAACATGGTGTAGACGCTCTCCCCCAGTTGGCTAGCGAGGGGATCTTGCAAAATTAAACTGCGTAGCTTGCACAGGGCAAGTCTCCTGATGTCCTCGTCGGGCAACTCCTTCCGGGCCCTCTTGAGATCCAACCTGATCACAGGTGGCTCAAACTGAACCACAGCTTCGGGCTTTGCGGCCTCTTGGACAACTTCAGATTGCAAAACATCTGACAGGCCAATGGCTGTAGGCAGAAAAACCCGATTGCACCCAGCTAGCCCAGTTCCAGCCCACTTGTCTCCTGATCTAAAAGCACCATAGAACTCCGGCATCTCCCATGGCAGCTTAGGCAGGTCCACCTTCAACCTCTTGCTTGCAGAAGCCATGGCACATTGCTTCCAGCTAGGTTCAAAACGGCATGGATCAGTCACTCTTGAAGTGGTGATTCCGGTTCATATTCCGTTTCAGCTGGTTTGCCCAGCCCATCTTCTGAAATTTTGTCCCAACCACTGGGCAACGAAGCGCTATCGAAAAAGTCAGCAGATGAAAAATTTCCAGAGAGCTGTGCTGAATCATCAACAAAAACCAGGCTGGGGTCCTCTGAAGCATCCACCTGCTGGGTAGTGGACCAACGCTTGCGGAATCCTCTGAAGGAAGGCTGTGCACTCAATCCCAGTTCGTCTGTATCCATTGTAAGCAAAACCCAGGCAAAAATCACTGAATGAGCACCCAAATTGTAAAAATGCATCCACTGAAAAATCCAACAGCAGCGCAACAAAAGATTTCAAAATATTTGGGAGTTCTCTCCAGTTCCAACGCTTTCACCAGAGCCTTGCCCTTTTGTGAAGGGTGTCCACGGAATTTCATGGCATTTCTACCCCCGATTTCACAATTTTCGAAGGTTTCCAAATTTTATTGGATAACCCACCCACCTTCCCTCGAACCGGGAATGCTACAAATGAAATGAACATACTCCAAGATTGGGAAGACCAGAGTGAAGTATTTGACCTTCAGTTTTATTCAGACCCTGTTTGTTGTTTGCGACCAACTGATCGGATTCAGTAAAAGTGAAGCACACAACAGGGTAGGAAACAACAAGTGAAATAAATAAAACTGGAAGGTTCCGGTGATAAACATTGACGAAAAATAAATGTTTGGTTTCTTGTTTAAAGAGTTTCAAGTTCTTTGGCAAGATGTCAGCACAGAGATCGCTGTCGTCTTTACCTACGCGGAGGTGAGAGACACGCAGGACGCGGAGAGGTTTAGCAAGTTTGTACAAGAGAAGTTCGCAAAAGGAGAGGTTATATACAGACCAGGCCTTAAGGAAGGCCTTGTTTAGTACGCCAGAGAGAAAGTCTTGTCTGCACGCAGAAACGCCCATCATCGCCATTGTCGTCATCACTGTTGTTGTCATCGTCATCATGCCAGCCCACTCTCACAGTGAGCAGCAAAAAAAGTTGAAAGCACAAAGTTCTGGGGTCTGGGCGAGCCAACGCCGCAAAACTAAAGAGGCCTGGGTCACAGGGGGCGTCATGCTGTCCCCAGACACCACTGTGAGAGCGGCCTTTCCTTGTTTGGATGCGTTGAACATCAAACTTTGGATGTCACTCTCTCGCCTAGGCGCCATTAAGTGTGGGAAACCCCAGAACCTGAATGAATGTGGAGCCCACTCTCACAGTGAGCAACCAAATGTGAAAAATGACAGGTGGTGACATGGATGAAAAAGAGATCCTACTTAACTCTGGCAGTGATATTAGCCCAAGCTCTCAATATTGGGTTTCTTGAGTTGACTTTCATTTGAACCGCCTCCATTATATCATCATGGGACTGAAGACAGACATCATTTGCAGCCATTTGGCCCCAGTTTTGTCCTGGCAACCCTGGCAGTGATACAAATATCAAAATAGTGATTGGTCGGATTGGATTGTTTGGATTGTGTGGATTGCATTGTTTGGTCGAATTTGTATCACTGCCAGAATGCTTCGTTGCAATGTATGCGGTGAGGAGCGCTCCAAGAGGTACTGGACACCCAGCCAATACCAAGCGCGCAAATGCGTCTTGCTGCGTTGGAACTGCTGCCGTCTCTGCGATCCGTACCGTATAACTTCTACACAAAGTCATCGGACATAAGAGCGGCATATGCCCAGTTGTTCCTTGTGTTTTGTTTCAGTTTTTTTGCTTTGGCTAAATCGTGTTCTATGTCGTTTTCTTGTTGTGTCTTGGCTGAAACCTTGGTTTAAAACTTTAAGATGCCAGTGTTTGTGTCTAAGGTACAAACTCAAAGAGAAAGCAGATGACAACCACATGTACATTGAGAAGCAGTTCCAAGTGCTGATGGGCAAGCCGTATATGGTCAGGAAAAAACTTTCCCACAATGGTTGTGTTGGAGTCTTGGCTTAACATATTTTAATCCAACTGCTATTTATTTTTCTTTTACCCAGTTGGTATGATTCACTCCATGGGTCCCTGAATTGTTTCATCCTGCAATCCCTGCCAGATCATCCAGACCACCCTGGTCAACCACATGACTGTGGCAATGCAGTCTACACCGTTGCCGTTTGGCTTCTTTGTCCAGGAGTGCCGCTTGGCAAAGTGATTTGATTTTGGCTTCAATGTTTTCTGACGTCTGTGTTTTCAGTTTGAATGCGTGTTACTTTGTGCCAGCTGCCTCACTCAGGTTTGCCTACATGTCAAACAAGTCTGTAGTTGGGGACTTGGTCGAGGCACTGCTTGCTCAAGGCAACGACAGTGGGTTCAGGACGTTTCTTGAGCAATTCCTGCTTGCATTGGAACGATTCCTCATCGCAACCAAAGCTGAATCCTATGAAGACGTCACTTGGATTGCTCATTTTATTTTTTTGCTTTGTTTCGTTTCACATGTTTTTTTGTCGTCAGACATGTCTGTATTACTTTTTTTGTGTCGGACATGTGGTTGGAGGTCACCCACTGGAATGACATCAGATGCATTGCGGAGGCCACCCAAGAAACAGCCAATGAATTTAATTGATCGGAAGCTTCATCTGTCCTGCTGGAACAGTGAATATTTTTCCCTTCCAATCGAACCGGAATGGATGGATGATAATACATCATCGTCGTCCTGAAATGCAACTTTTTAATTTTGTCCAATCATTTGCCAAATGGTCAAATTGGAATGGATGAACATCATCGTCCTGGATTCGTCGTCAAGGTGCTTGGAAAACCATGTCACAGGAAGATGCAGGTATGTTATAATACCAAGGGAGTCCACTTGCATACAAGTTTTACATGCATTGTACGAAACCTTTTTTGCAATGTGCATGCATGGGAACATGATGGATGCACTGTGAGAGTGTTAATGAGCAAAATTAAAATGAGCCAATGAGCCAAAACCACTGCGAGAGTGGCCCCAACACCTGGAAGAAACAGTGGCCATGGTTCTGCCTAGGCCACCAGCTCTTACTTGTGCACTTCATGTTGCTGCTGCTCTTTGCATGCCTGAACCCCAGACTAGCGCAGCCATGAATTGTTTCTTTCCATGCACTGTGAGAGTGCGAGGTATTAGAATAATTTGTTAGGAGTTCCATTGCCAGCCTCCTGCCAATTCCTCCACTGGGCCAAGGAACCTTCAACTGGACATGGAACAGAAGGCTTGGAACCTCAGGAGTGTGGAGTGGTGGGTTATGTGGCGATGGTTAGTTAAGTTGATAGTAGGTAGGCGATGGAACCAGGACGATGATTAGGTGGCTAAGCGCAGGCCCAGGTCAAGCCAATCAATGTGTCAGTCATCATCCTCACTTCATCATGCGTGGGTGTGCGACAAACATGCATGTTGATGGGTCTGCGTCACGAAACGCTGGGTGAAGCAAACTTTGGTGGCATGGGGGTGGACTTGTTGGAACCAATCAGCCAATTGGATCTTTAATCACTCAGATATTGGGGGCTAGCGCTGTGGTTGGTGTTTTTTTGGGGTTGGGGATTAACATGGTTGCAGGTTTTTGGGGCCCTTCACATCCAGCAGGGGATTAATGTAGCCAGGGGATTAATGTGGCACACACATTGACATTGGGGGGCGCCCCCCCTTCTATTTCCAGCGGGGTCCCAGAAGCCAAAACAGAAGCTCCGAACCCAGGGAAAGACACCGGAAAAACAAGACTTTCTGGCAACCTCAGTTTAAAAGCAAGTCTTTTTGTGGCTTTTCTGCTGGCGACTTATTGGTAAGCTGTGACCCTCTGCAGCCAGAAGTGTTTCAGATTGTTCGGGGTGGCGCATTTTGTGCTTGGAGCCTCATGGGAGCCAATTGTGAGACAAGGCTGCCACCTGATGTTGAGGATGAGGAGTTGCCACTTCCATTGCCTGAGCCCTTGCCCATGAATGTGGACCTCGACATTGTTCCCAGGCAGGCTTCCACATTGCTGATTTCTCAACAAAGTCATGCCCCCTTATCAATCTGTTAGTGTCCCTGTTTTGTTTCTCCACAAATGGTAACTTTTCCATTTCTCCACAGAATGCTTTGCAGGTGGCAGATCGAAGACTGTGGTTGCAAGAAGAGGTGCGCTGAAAAGTTTCAGGACCCGTGTCTGAAACAGCGGGCAATGGACTTCCACCTGCAATGTGACAAGATGAGCTCCGCTGATGCAAGTGCTATGCGGCACCGGTTGCTTGTTGGGCTGTGCTATGACTCCAGCAGTGGCACCCACCAACGCCCTGAACAATACATGTTCTTGGGGCAGCCGGTTTGCTTTCAAGCCTGGCTTTGGCTGGTGGGTATCTCCAAGAACTGGACGGTGAGACGTTTGGAATCAATTCTGGCAGGCAACTTGGATGAGCCAGCAGATGGCCGCCAGCAACGTGTCGTGAGGGACAAGCCTGGGACCTACAGTGCTGATGGTTTCTTTGACCACCTCTACGTCCACATGGCAGAACATTTGGCAGAGTGCAGGCCTGATGATGACGAAGACCTGCTGAGTGATGTTGAGGATGATCTGTCACTGGAAGTTGGAGAACCTCCAATACTGGAAAACAAAGAACTTCCTTTGGTCTCACAATTCGATAAATGGATCTTGGGCAGGGGATCAAGTGCAGACCCATTGAATGTGGTTGTGACCCATTCGACAGCAGTGGATTCTCGCCCACAGAAGTATCTCCACCAGACTAAGCTTTCGGAGCTCTATCAGCAGTACTTGCACAAGGCCAAGATGGAGTCAGAGAAGCCATGCTCTGCTTCAACGTTCTACAAGACATGGAAACGATGGCATTCTGTCATCAAAATCCGCAAAGTGAAGCAGCATGCCCGATGTGAGGACTGTGCAAAGTACAGCAAGTTCAGAGCCAAAGCACGCACAGAAGCCATGAAGGCAGAGATTGAGGAGAGCTATGCCAACCATCTCAAGTCTGTCTACAAGGATCGTGAAATTGGAACAAGACTTGCCAGTGCATCCAGGGCATCTTTGAGGGATGAGGCTGGCATTCCAGATGAAGAACGTGTTCTCTACATCAGCATCGATGCGATGGACGAGGCAACACATGCTGGCATTTGTTTTTCCCCAAAAAAGAGAAAGCTTTGAAATCATGTGTTGCCATTGTTTGGGAAAACACTACCGCTTGCAAAGCCCTGCCCTGACAGGGAAAATTCTCGTGTCCACGGAACGAGGGGCTCCACAAGGGATTTGAAAAATTATGGAAGCCTCGATTGCACAATGCTTGTGTGTTGGTTCACGGACTTGTGGAATTGTTTTACGTGGTCGACTCTGACATCAAAAAAGATTCGAACTTACAATTGACGCTGCTTTGCACCTTGGCCAAAGTTAGTGTAAGTTGTCATAGTAAATGTGCACTGAGAGAGTGCAAACATGTAAGCTGTCATAGCAAAAGTGCACTGAGAGAGTGCAAACATGTAAGTTGTCATGTCATAGCACATGTGCACTGAGAGAGTGCAAGCATCCCCCAAAACACAACATATTTCTTGATTTTGCAGCTTCTGATCTTGCAGCTGAGGCAGATCCCTGGACAGGGCTGTTGCCATCCTCAAGTCCCAAGGCAAACGGGAACTACCAAGGCATTGCGTCATACAGCAGGACAACACGTGCAGGGAGGGCCGCAACCAGCACTGCTTGGCTTGGGCAGGATATGCGGTGTCATCAGGGCTCTTCGACTCCGTGACATTCCTGTACTACATTGTTGGTCATACACATTTTTGTGTTGACCAACGATTTGTGGCCCTCTCAAGCATCTTGAGCAAGGCAGCGGTGTTGCAGACACCCGAAGACTTTCAGAAGGAGATTCAGCATCAAATGCGTCCCATTCATGCACCCTTCCTTGAGGCTGAGTACATCAAAGGAGGTTCTTGGGACTTTCAGGCTTGGCTTGCACCGATGCAAACTGAGATGTCAGGCCTCACAATCACAAAGGCTGACAAATCAGTTTCCCACAGCCTGCGGATCGTGAGGCGGGAAGATCTTCGGCGTTTTCCTGGCAGTGACAAATGGGAACTTGAGGAGGATGCTTGCAATAGTGGTTCTTGAATGAACATTTTGGTTCTGTTGCTGGTTTTGATTTTTTGATGGTGGTCTTGATGATGTTGGTTCTTGCTAATTACTTGCAAGCACACATGGTGTGCACATCTGCTTCAGGATGAAAACTTTCAGAAAGATCCCAGTGACTGCTTCCTTCTTGCAAAGAAGCGCATGGCTGACAACTCTTTGTCCCAAATGCCTGGGCTGGTGATTCCTGCTGCCCTGCTGCAGCGAGCGGACAGAGCACCTTCCATGTTGCCTTCCAAGGCCAACGCCAGGAACAAGATGGCAGACAAGACTTTGGTGCAGTTTCGTCGCACAGCTACAGAAATCGAGAAGACGCCATGGATGATGCTTGACGCTGCATCCTACCTGCGATCTTTGTGTGACAGCAATGAATCGGGAACTTGGCCAAGGCCACCAGACCTTTACTTTCTTGGCACTGGCCCTCAGCGATTGCAAGAGAAGAAGAGCAAGCCAATGTCTAGCAAAGGGTCACAAGACTTTTTCTGGCAGGACTTCGCACCAGGAACCCCAAAGAAGGTTGTGATCCACCGTGCGCCAATGGTCCCAGATGCAGCAGAAGATTCTGAGGATGACATCATTGCTGATTTGGCTTTGCCAAAGGCGGCTGCACAGCCCAAGCCGAAGCCAAAGGCACAGGGAAAGGCAACGTCACAGGCAAAGTCAAAGGCAAAGGCGAAGGCAAAGGCAAAGGCAAAGGCCTTGCCTGCGCCAGCAGAGCCGCCCCAAGCAGCGGAGTTGCTCCAAGAAGTTGCTGCTTTGCCTGATTTACCTGCACCAGTGCCTGCACCAGTGGTGTTGCCTGCTGATGTTGATGAGGAACCAGCACAGCAGCCACAAGAGAAGGTGTATGCCCCCAGGAAATTCCAGCAGGCACAGATTCAATACGTGAAGGAGCAGACGAAGACTGGTGTGTCACGCAAGGATGCCCTCAAGATGTGGATGTTGTCGACTGAGCGCGCAGATTTGCTGAATGGCCTTCCTGAAAGCGAGTTGAAGAAGAGACGCTTCATGTGATTTTTGGGGGCTGCTTTTTCCATTGCCCGATGACTTTCCAGTGATTGGAAGATTCACATGTTTAACTATAGAAAGAAAACAATCTTCCACATTTCTCAATTGTGTGCTGCCACTTGTGAAATGTTTTGAATGAAGCGGGCTTGGAGATGCAGTGAGAGTATTTTATGCAGCAATCCATTTGCAGCGGGGTTGGAGTCAGAGGCAAAGTTGGGCCTGAGTCCAGAAGACAATCCAAGACTGTACGCTATATTCTTCTGCATTGCCCAGATTTGGCCTCATGACCTTGATTACAAACTGGTGGCCATGTGCTGTTGTCATTGGTTTGCTTCAAGTGTCAAGTCTCCTTAGTTTGTTTGTTGGCCACTGGCTTTTTAACCTGTGGAAATAATTTGCAAGCAGCGATTGCTGGCTCCTTGGGATTCGCACAGAAATCTTTGGAATGATTCAGAGCTCATTGGAGGAGCAGCAAAAAGAGCTTTTGCAGATGCAAGATGGCACTTGGGATATGAGAAGAACCCACTGTGAGAGTGGTGTGACAAGACATCGATTGTCCAAACATATCTAGTAGCTGAACATGACTATACACCCAGATTTGAAGGAGCCTCCTGTAAACAAGCCAGCTCTGCCAGCAAGGTGCAAGAGATCAACCGGGGTCTCTTTCCCTTGGAGGCCCAGATCCCAGCTTGCAGAGAGTCTGAAATGTGCTATTTTGTGCAAGTGGGGCATGGCTGCTGTGAGTTAGTGACTGCAAAGTAAAAGTTTGGGCTCATGAAACATTTGGGCTCAAGTTTCACATTTTGTGTTTTCAATTGAAAGCAACATCAGATCAGAACAGTTGTCTTTCACAGTTTCGCTGGCCAATTTTTCTTCAGCGTTTGTTTAGCAGTGGCACTTGTGGCTTGTTCATCCGCCATTTTTTTGCAGTGGGGTCACTGATATCTTCCAGGCTCCCATTTCTGCACATGCAGCACAGAATTGGTTTGGTTTTCGGTTTCAACTTCAAATTCTTCTCTTTTATTTGGACATGGCGTCACTTGTCCTGGGCAATCGAGTGGTCCTTGCTAGACCTGCTGGCATTCGAGCGACTGGCGCTGGCAGCCCTCTGTTTCGAGCTGTTTTCATGGCTTTTGGAGCAGGAAGAGTGCCTCGCACCAACATTTTTCAGCTTGTGGGGGAAATCTCTTGGAGCTCACTCCAATCATCCTGTGCAAGGATGTACCTGTTCTTGACATTCTCATCAGCAACAGCTGTGGGCACACCTCCAAGGGCTCTTTCAGCGCCACCTGGATCCGATGCAGATGGATCCGATGCAGATGAGGTATCCGATGACTCAGATGTGCCAGATTTGTTTCAGAATCAGATGATTCGTGAATTTTGAACAGACATGGTGACACTGCACCAAGACCACCTGGTGCTCCGAGCAGAGGAGGATTGCGCTGTGTAGAAAAATACCATGGCATTGACAAGCCCTCCGGGTCGCACTGTGAGAGTGCTATGTTTGCCCTCCCCAGTCTCAGAATGATTCCCCAGTCTCGGTGAGCAAGGTGCCCAGCTTTGGTGCGAGTGATGATGCGTGGCAGCTCAGAGAATTTTTTTTTTAGAGTTCTCAGGGGTCGAAGAGTTCTCAGGATTTTTTTTTCCAGGGGTCGAAGTCCTCGATCCGAGCAGTTCCTGACGCCTTAAACGCGCGCGCGCGCGCGTTTAAGGCGTCAGGAACTGCTCGCCGAGGTCTGCCGAGGACTTGGACCCCAACGGGGAGAAAGTGATGCAAAATGAAAAATGTCACTTTTATAAATTTTAAAAAATTATTTCTATCCATAAATTATGTCCACAATCAGGTTTAAAACATTCAGTGGTTCATTTTCAAGGTATTGGAATGAAATTTAAAAGATTTTTTTCAATTTTTTTTGGTCAAAATATTGTTGAAAAATCAGATTTCTATCCATAAATTATGTCCACAATCAGGTTTAAAACATTCAGTGGTTCATTTTCAAGGTATTGGAATGAAATTTAAAAGATTTTTTTTTCAATTTTTTTTGGTCAAAATATTGTTGAAAAATCAGATTTCTATCCATAAGTTCTGTCCACAATCAGGTTTAAAACATTCAGTGGTTCATTTTCAAGGTATTGGAATGAAATTTAAAAGATGTTTTTTTTCAATTTTTTTGGTCAAAATATTGTTGAAAAATCAGATTTCTATCCATAAGTTCTGTCCACAATCAGGTTTAAAACATTCAGTGGTTCATTTTCAAGGTATTGGAATGAAATTTAAAAGATTTTTTTTCAATTTTTTTGGTCAAAATATTGTTGAAAAATCAGATTTCTATCCATAAGTTCTGTCCACAATCAGGTTTAAAACATTCAGTGGTTCATTTTCAAGGTATTGGAATGAAATTTAAAAGATTTTTTTTCAATTTTTTTGGTCAAAATATTGTTGAAAAATCAGATTTCTATCCATAAGTTCTGTCCACAATCAGGTTTAAAACATTCAGTGGTTCATTTTCAAGGTATTGGAATGAAATTTAACAGATTTTTTTTTCATTTTTTTTGGTCAAAATATTGTTGAAAAATGAGATTTCTATTCATAAATTCTGTCCACAATCAGTTTTAAAACATTCCGTGGTTCAAACATGGCTGGGGACTCCTGGGGCAAAATGGTGGAATTTTCTAGCATTTTTTTATTGAGGGTAGGATATCAATTGGGAGGATTTGATCCTAAAATCTGGTACCACCTCTAGATACATAACATACATCTCATCAATCTATCATTGTGTTTTGTTCTCCCACTAAAGAAATATAGTTCTTGAAAAATGACAAGGAAAAAATATAGGAAAAATAAAGACAAAGAAAAATTAGAGAACTGAGTTTGATTAAAAAACAAAAATAAAGCAAACACAATATAATAAAGCGAAACAAAATTTCCATGATGTCGCCTCAAGATGTTCCCATTCTGTGTTCCCATTCAAAATGGGGCTCATGCCTCATATACCACTGGGAGAGTGGCAAACATAGTGAAACCTCTGCAGTTTCCACCATGTTCGTTCATCCCAGAGATGGTTTGGCTCGAGTGAAAGGTGAGCCTGCCAGAGCTATGGTGAGCCTACCTGCTGATGTCAGTGAGGACTTTGACACTGACCTGGCAGAGATGGCAATGCCGGATGATCTTCCAATAGATTTGGGCATCAGCATCCCAGAGGCAGTGGATGAGGATGCATACTGGGAGCTGGATGCTGCAACTGATCTGCAAAGCTTGATTTTGCCTGAAGATGTTCTTTTGCCTGCAGATGTGGAGATGGAAGAATGCCACCGTGAAGAATGCGACCAAGTTCAGCCCAGGGTCCACTTGGAGGGGCGCGATGCTGTCATGGAGGTGTTCTGCCCCCCACGCCTGGTGCCAGTGGCAAAGAGTTTGGGTCTGAAAGCATCTGTGTCATTGGATGTAACGCATGGGTGGGATGCCAACCGAAAAGAGGACAGGGACCAAGCAGTACTCCTCTTGAAGAAGAAAAAGCCATGGCTTCTGCTGGTTTGTCCTGAGTGCAGAATGTTTTCCATCCTCCAACGAAATTGCAACATTCCCAAGATGGACCCAGAGCAGGTCAAGCAAATGATGGTGGTGGCCGTGGCGCATGTTGACTTCTCAATGGAGATGTTGAAGGAGCAGGCACTGCTTGGTGGAAAATTCATATTTGAGCATCCAGCCGGTGCAAGCTCTTGGTCTTTGAGATCAGTCAAAGATGTCCTTGACACTGTCCCAGGGAGCATCGTGGTAAGCTTCCCACAGTGCGCATATGGCCTATGCAACCCAGAAACTGGGGAACCCTGGAGAAAGAACACCAAATCTCACAAACAGCAGGGCAGTTGCTGCAGAGTTTGGCAATGCCAAATGTCAATGCACCGTGCCACATGACACAATCCAGGGGAATCTGAGAGGAGAAAAGAAATCACGCTTGGCGCAGATCTATCCACCAAAGCTTGTTCATGCTATGGTGCAGTGCTCTATGAAAGGCAACTGACACCAGGCTTTTTTTTGTCTTGTACAAAGACATTTGACTCCAGCTGATGCGGGTACAAACAGACAGGCTAATTGCCAGAAACCTATTGGCATGAAAAATCGCTAGATGACAAGCCAAAATCGCCGGATGCAAACTAATAAGAAATATCGACGGATTGTTTCCATTAGTAGAAAATCGCCAGATCATGCATAGGAGGAAAAATCGCCGGATCGCGCTGAGAAAAAAAAACGTGAGATGAGAGCCATCAAAACCCTTGAGATCCTGTGAAAAAAAAAAATTCCACAGGATCGGACCCAAAAGACAAAATCGCCGGATCGTGCTGGGAAAAAATCGCCAGATGAGGGCCATCAAAACCCCTGAGATCCTGTGAAAAAAAATTTTTCCACAGGATCGGACCCAAAGGACAAAATCGCCGGATCGTGCTGGGAAAAAAGTGCCAGGAAAAAAATCGCCAGATGAGAGCCATCAAAACCCCTGAGATCCTGTGATTTTTTTTTCACAGGATCAGACCCAAATTCAAAAGACAAAATCGCCAGATCATGCCCACTGGGAAAAAATCCACCAGATGAGGGCCATCAAAACCCCTGAGATCCTGCGAAAAAAATTTTTCCACAGGATCAGACCCAAAAGACAAAATCGCCAGATCATGCCCACTGGATCAGACCCATACAAAAAGATAGCCAAGTAAGCAAAACCATCAGATCTCATGTGCACGGATTCATGCACATGGGATCCTGTGATTTTTTTTTTTCACAGGATCTCAGGGGTATAACCATACATCCAGCAGATCTCTGGGTCAGGATTTCATGACCCAGAGATCTGCTGGATGTATGGTTATACCCCTGAGATCCTGTGATTTTTTTTTCACAGGATCCCATGTGCATGAATCCGTGCACATGAGATCTGATGGTTTTGCTTACTTGGCTATCTTTTTGTATGGGTCTGATCCTGTGGAAAAAAATTTTTTCACAGGATCTCAGGGGTTTTGATGGCCCTCATCTGGTGGATTTTTTCCCAGTGGGCATGATCTGGCGATTTTGTCTTTTGGGTCTGATCCTGTGAAAAAAAAATCACAGGATCTCAGGGGTTTTGATGGCTCTCATCTGGCGATTTTTTTCCTGGCACTTTTTTCCCAGCACGATCCGGCGATTTTGTCCTTTGGGTCCGATCCTGTGGATTTTTTTTTTTCACAGGATCTCAGGGGTTTTGATGGCTCTCATCTGGCGATTTTTTCACAGCACGATCCGGCGATTTTGTCTTTTGGGTCCGATCCTGTGGAATTTTTTTTTCACAGGATCTCAAGGGTTTTGATGGCTCTCATCTCACGATTTTTTTTCTCAGCGCGATCCGGCGATTTTTCCTCCTATGCATGATCTGGCGATTTTTTGATTATAACCTTATCTAACGATTTTTCCACGCAATGAGTCTTATTGGTTTGAGTATACCATTGGAGATGTGGTATTGAACTGAGGTGTCCGATCTCACAGCATCCTGGAGCAGGCGTTGGGTTTTCTGGCAGTTTTGGATTTGTCTGGGCATCTGATGATTTTTAGTCACTATGATAATTTGACTTTTTTCACAATTCGGGGTTCTGACGATATTTACACATTTTGGTGATCTGACGATTTTTCAACTCCTTGAGTTCTGATGATCTTAGTGGAACTCACTGTTGTGGTGTGATTTGGCTCAACTATAGCTCACGCCGCACGGCAAGGGATTTTGGAATACCATCGGATCAGTTAGACTTAGCCAGCAAGACTACCTGCGATGGTAGAGGAAACCGCATCTCAAATGAGCACTGAGGCCACAGAGCATGGATTTCTGTTGGCCATTGCTCCGCACAACCAGCACGAGGCAACACACCAGAAGATCTATGATGCACTTGAAGAGGTTTTTCGCTGTCACGGCAACATCGCGAATTACCTTCAGAAAACCATCGGAGAGGATGATGAAAAGGCTTCTCAGTTCATCCTCTTCTTGGATGAGTTGACCACTGCTGGTGCAGTCTTCCAGGAGACTTCCAAATATTTGCAGGCCCAGCACCTACGTTCAGATGTGATCTTGTCGGAGGTGAAGCAGGTGAAATTGCACGTGGCAACGTTGGGCTTCCATGCCAAGAGCTCCATCAAGGGCCCACCGAGTAATGTGAAGGTCAAGGATATGATCGGATTGATTCTCTTTGATGGATTCGTCACAGCTCTGGAGCCCTTAGTGGTGACACAGCCAGCAGACCTTATGGCACTCACCAGTGAGCGCAAACTTGCAACTCCATGGAAGGGCATGGATGCCTTCAGTGTGGGATACAGCAAAGGGTTCAGCAGGGCTCTGTCTTTGCTGGGGCTCCTGTTGATTTGCTTCGAGAATGGCATCGACATCTCAGAGGCCAGGGGCGTGGTGATTTTGTTTTGCTTTTTGTTTTTGTTGTTTCAAAAGAACATGAGCTTCTTGTGCATTGATCACAGGAGCTGCCACTGCTCCACAAGAGCCTGTCCAGCATTCATTGCGTCGTGAGCAAGTTTGCCAGCAAGACTGAGGAAGTGCTTTTCAACTTCAAAGTCCAGACCCGTGGTGCAGTTCGCAAGTTGCCCAATGTTGTGGAATGGATTTGTGTCCTCAAGCACTTGCAGGAACAGGGCACCAACACCAATGAAGTGATGCGGAAGTACAACAACAGCGTGCCCACCAAAGCTCAGCAGATTGCAGGTGGAAAGGCAAAAACAGTGAAAAACCTGATGGAAAGCTTGCCCCAGGAGTGTTTACAGCTGATTCTGGACCATTGCCAGCGTTTCTCATGGGAGGCCAGTGTTTTCACTGATGACTGCTTAGCCAGCAAGAAAATTAGTGCTGGATATTGTCACCGTAGTGTTGGACTTGGGGAGGCTTGGCGTAGTAGGGGCAAAGTCACTGAAGAGTCCCTGGACTTGATGTTCCGCCACATCATCCATGGCTTTGAATCGTCCTCTGAAGACATGCGAAAGAAGCTCTCCCAGCAGGAGGTGGATGCCAAATCAGAAGAGGCAGCATTTGTGTACAACATGGCCCTGGAAGCAAAGAAGGAGTGCCCAATTGAAGACAGCTTGTTGGAGGAGAAGTGGTTTGGACCATGGGTGTCTGGTGAGTTTTCCTGCACACATGAAGTGGCCAATCAGCTTCAGCAAAAGGATCCCAACTTGACAGCACGTGGTGTGAAGCAACTTGCTGAAGTGTGACTTGGCTGCATGTGGAGATCCTTTTCACGTTCTTGTTGTGCTTGTTGCAGTTGCTGTCCAGTCTATGCATAGACAGACACATTTTAGCCACAACTAATAGAATTTCAAGATTGCCATGTAATGAAGTGACTGTGCATTGTGCATGCACTGCGCAGTGTATACAAAGAATGCCACATCTGAGGATGAACATCCATGGCAGCACCATGCCTGTGAGGGGACAACCAGGTTCGGTGCGAGCGATCGAAGGAAGCCTGGAAGAAGATGAGTGGAACTTGCTGAAGCAGAGGATCACATATGACCTCCAGGCTTTCAGGGTGACAGGCCAAAGGATGGCATCGTGGGAGTCTGCCAAGTACCACGAGGAACTCATGCAGCGAAGACAGCGATTTGAAGTGTCCAATGCCGCAGCCAAATCCTTCCTGTCATGCTATGTCAACATTATCCTTGCTGACAAAGTGGTCGCCCCAGTGCTCAGGAACATGGGTGATTTTGTGGATCGTTCGATGCAACGCTTTGGCCTGCAGAAAGCGGCTATGGCTGCTTGTCTTGTTTTAGTCTTCGCTTCCAAAAGCAGTTTTGCAAATAGTTAAAAGCCTCACATTTAGTAAATACTAGGTGAACCCACTGTGAGAGTGGCGTGTTTGCAGTGTTGGGTGGGAGTGGGAGAGCACTATTGAATACCCACTGTGAGAGTGGTATTGTCACAGACTCAGGTCTCGGCGTACTTCTTGAATTGGTCAGCTGTGTCGCGTTGCAAGGAGAGCCTCCAAGCCGTGCAGGCCCAATCCATGGGAGTTCTCTTGAACGCCTCAGACAATGCTGTTGGGGTAGCATTGATGCCTGTCTTTGGCTATCTCAAAGGCCAAACCTTTGTGGCGGAGCACCACTGCTTGAAGAAGTTGCACGGTGCAGGCTTGAATGTGGACAGAACCATGAGCTTGAATTTCGAGGCTCGTGTGGATGCACGGGATTCACGCCCACTCACATACCAAGGCCGTATTGCGACTGGGTCTGCATTGAATGAGACAAAGTTTGCCTTCAAGTCCTCCAGCCTTGTGACACACGGCAGGACTGCCAATGCAGAGCAGCTATCAGCTGCACACATGGAGCACGTTGAAGATATTGACCCTGAAGCCCTTCCTTCAACAACCTCAGATGATCACATCGCTGGGGCACGAAAATTTGAGCAAATTGGACAAGATGCATGGTCCAAGATGTTCGATGCAGCTCTAGATGGTGTCGAGGTGGGGCCAAACACTTCCATCTTGATCATTGATGGCAATCTGGGAGTCGGAGACAGCTTTGCAGCGTACCTGGACAAGAGAAAAGAGTACAACTGTCCGATCTTCTATGTTGGCATCACCGATGATGAAGTGACCAAAGAGTGGTTTCTGAAAACAAAGTGTGAAAAGTTGACCCGCGACCATTGTGAAGGCAAGGTGGAGATTCCAGGTGTCGCACGTGTGGCTGAGGATGCTGCGCCAACCTCCATTCCAGACTAGCCAACCCTTCCAAAACTCAATGTGTTGCTGCCGGCTGGGCCATCAGGCACGTTGCCATGCATTCCAGCAAAGATCATGGAGGACTGCAGTGATCCATTCAACTGAGGCTTTTTTTTTGCTTTTACATAATGTAGTTTATGTATGCATTTTTTTGCACCTGACCTAACTGCTTGTTTCCAGGAGTGGACTATCCACCCTCGCTACAGTGCAGAGTTCCAAGGGCTTCTGGAAAAAATCACGGAGGAGTTTGGGCCTTTGATTGCAGAGAAGGATCGCAGCAAGAACACTGAGAATGGAAGGGACAATGGCAGTGGTGATTCCAAGCCTGTCCGGAAGCGCAAGAATCAGGCTCAAGATGTGATGATGACGAATCCCATTGCTGCCAAGAGGGGCAAGGTGGAGAACGCGTTCCTGAAGAAGATTGAGGAAGTGGGTGAGGAGAATAAGCTCTTGGAGTTTGACTTGGTCAACAGAGGTGGAGGTATCAGTGTCCATGTCAAGTTCCAGAACAAGGTGTTTCTTTTCAATCGCTCTCACACCAAGGCAGTGCTTCAAGCAGGACATGTGTTGGCTGGATTCGGCTCAGGCAAATACAAGCAGCGGAAGGAAGGTGAAGAATTCAACGCAGACAAGGAGGTGCTTTTCGAGGTTGATCCTGCAACCTTGGTTCTCAATGGAAGCCAGCTGACCACTGTGGACGAGATGCTCAAGACGAAGCGTGCCGACGACCCTACAGCTTCCATTGCCTATCACAAGGTCATTGAGGAGCCAACCCCTGAGGATGCCTCCAAGATCAAGATCACGTTGCAGAACCAGGTTGCCTTCGTCCCAAATCCAGCTGGTGTGAATGAAGATGAGGAGAACAAGGAAAAGAGTGTCAAAGCCAAGGCCTTGCAAGCTCGTGCGGCATCATTGTTGCCAGCTGCGTCATGGAAAACTCATTGCACATCGGTGCTTTGGGTAGTGCGCTGGGCCGCCATTGGTTTGACACCTGTGAAGCCTCAAGTTGTTCTCACAAAGGAGATCTCTCTGGAGCCTGGTCAGGCTTGTGAGCTCTAGGAGCACATGGATCTGAAGCCGGTGCATCGAAACAGACCTTAGTTTATAGTTGTTGGAATGGAAAAAGACAAGCAGATCAGATCATGAAATCAAAACTCTTCAGATCCATACACAGAGCATGCGGGAGAGTGCTACGCCGCTACTTGTGTTGGGCCCAGGACATGGACAGCTGTGGCCCTGCACCAATCCCATTGTACAGCATTGACTGACTAGCTGGCCAACGCTCTGCTTTGACCCTTGACAAGACAACCTTTATATGCTTATGTTGGGGATGTTTCTCAGGCATCTCACAGAAGTGAATGATTCAATGTCAGGGTGGTCATAGCCTGGATTCTGGCAGTGTCGTTGAAACTGAGTCCTGAGGCTCAAAAAAAATCGACAGCGTTGATTTAAACCCACTGTGAGAGTGGGAAGCACTGTGAGCTGCCCGGGTATCTCACCTAAACCGTCCCTGCCTTGTTGACAGGCCTGTGTCAGAGCACAAGGTGACGCTCTCAGATTGCTGGAGGAAAACATTCATGATTGAGCCACTCTCACAGTGACTTGTGTTATGCCCACTCTCACAGTGACCAAAGGTTGTTTATCATTGGTAATGATTCCAACATCATCGAAGCACAACTAGACTCATGGTTCATTGCTCATTGCACTGCAAGATTTCAGGTTTTTGCCAGCAGCTGGGAACCGATTGCCTTCATTTGTTTTGCAATGGATGTGGCAGCTGGAAACATTCGGAACTACAAGTTGTGCTTGACCTTGAAGAAAGACTTGGCCTTTTCGATTCTGGAAGGATCAAAGACTTATGAGAGTCGCAAATCCAAAGCATCACACACGAAGCTGATGAAGCTTGAAGTTGGAGATGTGTTAGCATTTCATTGGTTCACCGATGAACGGCTCACTGTCAAGATCCTTCAGGTACTGCTGTTTGCAAGCTTGGATGAGATGCTGCAATGCATACCCTGTGGCCAACTACTTCCAGGGAAGAACATGGAAGATGCGCCCAAGGCTCTTGAAAAGATCTTCAGACCTCCTACAAATCAAATGATTGTCTTCAAAATTGGAGAACCCATGTTCCACAGAAAGGTACCGGCAAAGGCAGAGTCGCAGTTCAAGTCGAAGGCAAAGGCGAAGGCAAAGGCAGAGGCCTTGCCTGTGCCAACGGAGTTGCCTCAAGCAGTGGAGTTGCTCCAAGAAGTTGCTGCTTTGCCTGATTTACCTGCACCAGTGCCTACACCAGTGGTGTTGCCTGCTGATGTTGATGAGGAACCAGCACAGCAGCCACAGGAGAAGGTGCATGCCCCTGAGAAATTCCAGCAGGCACAAAGTCAATACGTGAAGGAGCAGATGAAGACTGGTGTGTCGCGCAAGGATGCCCTCAAGATGTGGATGTTGTCCAATGAGCACGCAGATTTGCTGAATGGCCTTCCTGAAAGCCAGTTGAAGAAGAGACGCTTGTGAAATGTTCTGACGTGACAGAGTCTCATCGAAGCGCAAAGGTGAAAAACATGCTGTGCTCATGCTCATCATGTCTTTGCCACTGTGAGAGCGGTTTTTAATCAGTTTAAAAATGAACAAGATATCACTGAACAAGTATATAAACATGTACATATGTATGTATGTATGTATGTATGTATGTATGTATGTGTGTATGTATGTATGTATGTATGAATGACATGAAATGAAATGAAATGAAATGAAATGAAATGAAATGAATGAAATGAATGAATGAATGGAATGAATGGAATGGAATGGAATGGAATGGAATGGAATGGAATGGAATGGAATGGAATGGAATGGAATGGAATGGAATGGAATGGAATGAATGAATGAATGAATGAGTGAGTGAATGAATATTGATTTCTGCGAAGCACCCATTGGGGACCCAGGCCAGCTGCCATACCCCAAAGGCCTGGGCATCAGGGAAGCTGCTCAGCTGTAATGCCCCAAACATGTGCAAAGGCCACTCTCACAGTGGCAAAGAATAGGTTGATGACAATAGGTTGATGGCCTCACTGACCTTTTTCTCTGCCTTTGCTGTGGAATCTAGACCCTCGCATTTTGCGATGGCTTGCAATTATCATTATGAGCATTGGCAAATCATCATTGCATCATTATGAGCACCAATCACTTTTAGCACAACTTCTCATAGTGGTAGCCCACAAGCAGTGCAAAAGACATCATCCTCATGCTTCCGGGCTTGTCCACACTTTCCACAGAACTTTCCAGGCCTTGAGCTTTCTGAAGGTTGCTGTGGCTCAGTGCCCAGTACGGGTGCCCAAGCTTCATCATATACCTCCTCCATAGCCTGATGCTGCCGTGCCTTCGTTGCCATATCATAACTTCGCTGAAGCATGGGTATCGATGTGCCGGATATTGCCGATATGATAGCCCATGAAACTTTCTGCTCTGAAAATAATGTGACAGATGTCTTTTTAAATGAATGCGTCCCCAACCGGTTTAGGTCATAGCCATTGAAAGGATGGTCAGCATTGTTGGCTTTAGCAGCTGCCCTCTGAGCACGTAGGATTTCCCCTGCTTGGTGGAGGCGAGCTAAATAGGCCCTTTCTGAGATGGGTTTGTTCCAGTCTCGAGTCTTGCCGTCAGCAGCATAGCCAGGAAATAATGGTGATTCCAATTCCAGATTCTGCCCCACAGCAGGCCAGGCATCACCATTACTGGACTCAATAGGGTTACCATGGCTGATTGTCCATAGAAATTCTCCAAATGGTCTGTAGATGGGGATGGAACGGGCAACTGTCTTGCCATTTACCCTAGGGATGTTTATCACTGGTTGTCCCTTTGAACCTGGTTCCATCCCAGATAGCCAGCTCCACCGGCACTTGCGAGCGCAGTCTGCTCTGTCCATGATAAATAATTGCAACAATGACAGAATTGCCGCCCAAGGGCATATGGCAAGCAGTGTTTGCATGAGGGTAATACATTGGTTTTGGTTCAACGGCTCTCTTCCACCATGCTTTGGTGGAGGACAAATGGACTTGCATTGTTTGAGATGCTCTTTGCAGCAAAAGCGTATAATACAGCACTGTGCTCTGATAGGTCGGCACATTGCCATGTTCACATCTTTTCGTTTCAGCTGCGTTTCAGCGCCAACATTCTTCACATCCACTTGGCGGCGGCATTTGTTGAAAGCGCATCTCATTTTGATCTTTGAAGCATGTGACCGCTTTGGGCCTCTGGACCCTTTGTTCTTTGCCATGATTCATTTCTCGGGCCAAGAGAAACCAGACTTCATTACAGTATTCATGCATGTTTACAATACTGATTGTGGTCACACCATGAGAAACCAGACTTCAAACCAGAGGTTTCCAGAAAGTCTTGTTTTTCCGGTGTCTTTCCCTGGGTTCGGGGCTTCTGTTTTGGCTTCTGGGACCCCGCTGGAAATAGAAGGGGGGGCGCCCCCCAATGTCAATGTGTGTGCCACATTAATCCCCTGCTACATTTGAAGGGCCCCAAAGGGGGGCGCCCCCCAATGTCAATGTGTGTGTGCCACATTATGTTAATCCCCAACCCCAAAAAAACAGATTGGTTCCAACAACACCTTCTGTGCCACCCAAAATTGCCGCACCCAGCGTTTCGTGACACAGACCCATCAACATGCATGTTTGCCGCACGCCCACACATGATGAAGTGAGGGTGATGACTGACACATTGATTGGCTTGACCTGGACCTGGGCCTGCGCTTAGCCACCTAATCATCGTCCTGGTTCCACCGCCATATACCATCAACTTAACTAACCATCGCCACATAACCCACCACTCCACACTCCTGAGGTTCCAAGCCTTCTGTTCCATGTCCAGTTGAAGGTTCCTTGGCCCAGTGGAGGAATCGGCAGGAGGCTGGCAATGGAACTCCTAACAAATTATTCTAATACCTCGCACTCTCACAGTGCATGGAAAGAAACAATTCATGGCTGTGCTAGTCTGGGGTTCAGGCATGCAAAGAGCAGCAGCAACATGAAGTGCACAAGTAAGAGCTGGTGGCCTAGGCAGAACCATGGCCACTGTTTCTTCCAGGTGTTGGGGCCACTCTCACAGTGGTTTTGGCTCATTGGCTCATTTTCATTTTGCTCATTAAACACTCTCACAGTGCATCCATCATGTTCCCATGCATGCACATTGCAAAAAAGGTTTCGTACAATGCATGTAAAACTTGTATGCAAGTGGACGCCCGTGGTATTATAACATACCCGCATCTTCCTGTGACATGGTTGGTCGAAATCCATCATTTTCCAAGCACCTTGACGACAAATCCAGGACGATGATGTTCATCCATTCCCATTTGGCCATTTGGCAAATGATTGGGCAAAATTAAAAGTTGCATTTCAGGACGATGATGTATTATCATCCGTCCATTCCGGTTCGATTGGAAGGGAAAAATCTTCACTGTTCCCCAGCACAGATGAAGCTTCCAATCAATTAAATTCATTGGCTGTTTCTTGGGTGGCCTCTGCAATGCATCTGATGTCATTCCAGTGGGTGACCTCCAACCACATGTCCGACACAAAAAAAGTAATACAGACATGTCTGACGACAAAAAAAATGTGAAACGAAACAAAGCAAAAACATTTAATGACCAATCCAAGCGACTGGCGCATAGGAGGAAGTTTTGCTTACAATGAGAAATCGCTCCAATGCAAGCACGAATTGCTCAAGAAATGTCCTGAACCCACCACCATTCTTGTCTTGAGCGAGCAATGCCTCCACCAAGTCCCCAACTACAGACTCATTTGACATGTGGGCAAACCTGAGTGAGGCAGCTGGCACAAAGTAACACACATTCAAACTGAAAACACAGACGTCAGAAAACATTGAAGCCAAAAATCAAATCACTTTGCCAAGCGGCACTCCAGGACAAAGAAGCCAAACGGCAATGGTGTAGACTCCATTGCCACAGTCATGTGGTTGACCAGGGCGGTCTGGATGATCTGGCAGGGATTGCAGGATGAAACAAGTCAGGGACTCATGGAGTGAATCATACCAACTGGGTAAAAGAAAAATAAATAGCAGTTGGATTAAAAAATGTTAATCATGCCAAGACTCCAACGAAACCATCATAGGAAAGTTGTTTCCTGACCACAAACGGGAGGCCCATGACCTCATTAAACTTGTTCTCAATGAACATGCGGTTGCCATTTGCTTTCTCTTGGAGCTTGTACCTTAGACGCAAACACTGGCATCTTAAAGTTCTAAACCAAGGTTTCAGCCAAGACACAACAAGAAAATGACATAGAACACGATTTAGCCAAAGCAAAAAAACTGAAACAAAACACAAGGAACAACTGGGCATATGCCGCTCTTATGTCCGATGACTTTGTGTAGAAGTTACACGGATCGCAGAGACGGCAGCAGTTCCAATGCAGCAAGACGCATTTGCGCGCTTGGTATTGGCTGGGTGTCCAGTACCTCTTGGAGCGCTCCTCACCGCATACATTGCAACGAAGCATTCTGGCAGTGATACAAATTCGACCAAACAATGCAATCCACACAATCCAAACAATCCAATCCGACCAATCACTATTTTGATATTTGTATCACTGCCAGGGTTGCCAGGACAAAACTGGGGCCAAATGGCTTCAAATGATGTCTGTCTTCAGTCCCATTGATGATAAATTGCCCCCATCCAATCAATTTATTTCCCACATACACGCAGCACTCTCAGGGTGCAAAGGAATACAGTTCCCCAACCATGTCCCCAATCATCTCCATTGAGAAGTAGCTGTTCTTAGAGGTTCCAGTCTCCATCCCCTAAGTCACTGTGAGAGTGGCAAGCATCATATATATATATAGATATAGTATATATATATATATAAGTCTCCATCCAGTGATATCATCCAAACCCTGCCAATGTGATAGTGGCTTGGATTTATTTGTTAACATGAATCAATCTTCAGCCACTGTGAGAGTGGCAAACATCAAAAATGTATTTCTTCATCCAATGATATCATCCAAGCCCTCCCGACTGCTGAGGTTCCAATCCTTCATCCAAGCCTTCAGCTCTGGTTGAAAGTTCCTTGGCCAAGTGGGGGAATTGGCAAGAGGCTGCCTTTGGAACCCCTCACAAATTAACATAATATATCGCACTCTCACAGCGCAACAGTCTCACAGTGCAAAGCAACACCTTAATTCCTCAAGCTGGGATTTGATTCAAGTGTTTTTCTGTGCTCCCCTGGGGCTGGCCTCGGGACTGTTTGAAACATTTGTGCTATGCAAGGCAGCTGGCCCTTGGGAACCGGTTACTTTCAAAAAGATTGGGGGGATCTCTCTAGACTGTGAACAGAATCTAAAATATGTGAAAATATGAATCTGCTACAGGGCTGCCCTGAGGTATACACCAGCCATCAAGCTGAGACACGCCACAAGCAAAATAAGATCTTCTTAAGATCTTTTCACACAAAGTTCATTCATACTTATCATTCATACCTATCAGTGATGCATGTGAGAGTTGCTTGCAGGACCACCCTGGTCAGGAATTGAAATCATTGTGTGCACATTTAAAGGTGAATATGACCCGTGGAAAGACAGAATATTTTTTTTACAGGAGCTTTGGAACATCCATGGCATGATGTGGTGGCACAATAGATGTCCAACTTCCGGAATTTCAATGGTTGAATGTCAAAGCTTGTCCATCTCTTCATTGAGCAGCAGCCACTGTGAGAGTGGCACTTATGAACGCCCAGGCCCAGGCCTCAGAACTTGCTCCACATGGCCTTCAAATCAAAGTTCCTCAGCGGAGCAGGGAAAAGGCATCTGCATGGATTGAATGGGTGCATGCTTGCACTCTCACAGTGCAACAGTGTTAAACTAGCACTCTCGCAGTGCCCTACAAACACACCTGCTCTGCATCTTTTTTGGGGCACGCAAATGCAAGGGCATTTGGATAGGAAACTTGAAAAAAACACAGGAAGGTTGGCCCAGGAGAGGATTCAACAAAATGTTTTCAAAATTTGAATTGATCTTCTTGGTGTTTTCTGTTGCAGCCACATAATAATGATTGTGGTGATTAGCAAACAAGCTTGCTGGGATTTCCACCTTCCTGTGGTTTGAACCATGTACAGTAGGAGCTGTGGTCTGCCAGGTGTGATGCATGCATATCTTTTATTATTTGCATATACGTAGAATTATGGATATCTGTACATATGTTACCTGCAAATGTATCAAACTTAGGTATTCCGTTTTACTGCATGTGGCTTGTGACTGCCTTGCTCCCTGTATGCTTACTGCTAATTAATGCTAAATCATCAACTCATTGCAGCCTCTCAGATCATTTTTTAGCCGGCCCTTCTGTCTTCTGTCGTTTCGCGGCCTTTTTCTGCTCATCCTCATTTCTGTGCACCTTCTCCTTCACAGCCTTTTGTTCTTCAGCCTCTTTCTGCTCATTTGTCAATGCTTCTTTCATCTTGGCATTTTGGGCTTCTAGGGCTGAGATCCTCTCCTTGAGGTCCTTTTTCCTGGCTTCCAGCTTTTGAATCCTTTCCTTCAGTTCCTTCTTGCATTCCTCGTGTTGTTTCATCAGCTTCTCAAGTGTGTCCTTGCCACTCTTGCATTCCTTCTTCATCAACTCCGCTGTCTTCGCGACTCTTTCCTGGAGCTCCTGCAAAGAAATGGACACCCCCAAAGAGGCTTCAATCTTTTGTTGGCTTCATCCCTGTAAAAAAGAATGGTTTGACAATAGCCTATGTTTTAATGTGAACTGCTTAAAGGCACTCTCACAGTGCAGGGAAAAACAAACTGCTCAGCTCTCCTTGTTTTTTGCTTCGGCCTCAGCTGCTCTGCCCTCAGCTTCCTTGCAAGCCGCCTTCAGGCTTTCGTTTTTCTGCATGATCTCCTTGAATCTGCGGCCATCTCGCATATTCTGTCCCGGGTTGGTATGGCAGTTTTTGGGCTGCGGCTTATTCTTATGTTTCCAGTTGCCTGCGCTTTTTGGTGCTGACTTGCTCTGCTGCTGCATCTTTGGTGCATCGCTTTGCTGCTGCTGCTGCTGCTCGTGCTCCCTTGACACAGTAGCGCATTGCTGGGTCCAAGCTAAGCACCGGGCTGCCTGCACAGCTGCTTGCTTGGACACACAGGCGTGGGCTTCTGCTGCCAGCCTTTCTTGCTGAGCCCTTTGTGCTGCAACTTCTTCTCTCATAGCTGCTTGCTGGGACATGCAGGCATGGGCTTCTGCTGCCAGCCTTTCTTGCTGAGCCATCTTTGCTGCAGCGTCTTCTCGAGCCAATGCTTTGGCCAACACCTCATCCATCTCCTTCTGCTTCCTTTCGAACTCCTCCTTCCACCTCCAATCCTGAACTCTGCTCCTCTTCCATGTCTGATCATTCCACCTCCTGTTGTCCCATCTCTTGTCATCCCATCTCTTGTCATCCCACCTCTTGTCATCCCACCTCTGGTCATCCCACCTCTTGTCATCCCACCTCTGCTCGTCCCACCTCTTCTCATCATCCCTTTGCCCTGCAGCTGCTGGTGCTGGTGCTGGTGCTATGGGTGCAGGTTGTGGAAAAGGTGGTGACGGAGCACTCCTGCATGCTGTGGGTGCTGTATTGCTTGCTGCTGTTCCAGCAACTACAGCATTGAACGGTGGTGGGTTCCGAATCATAGGCCGGGATGAGGATGACATCAGGGTTGGTGTGGCAGGGGTTTTGGGGCCTTGTTTTGGTTCCGGGCCCATCTGGTTGACTGGAAACTCTTTGTCAAGGCTGGCAAATAGTTCATCTGTTTGCTTCTGCACTTGTTTCCTTCGGTCTTTGTTGGACTCTCCATGTGCTGCTTCTGGCTTGATCTCTGGCTGCACCTGCTTCTTCACATGCTTCTTCACCTGCTTCTTCGGCTCTTCCTTCTTCCCCTTCTTGGCTTCAAGCTGGGGCTTCTCTATGGCAGGCGGACCCCGGGGCATGTCATTCAAATTTGATGTGATGTGTTGTGATAACCGTGATGCTAATTACTCCTATTCTCAGTCACATTTTTTCAAGGAATGTTTGGTGGTTGCCTTGTGATCAGCACTGATTGGCATCAAGTCTTGAATTTGCAGTTCATGGGCAGACATATGAGGACATGCTATACATACTACATCACTTTTGCCTTGTCATTGGTGTGCATCCGTCTTGAGCCCGAGTAAAGCGGTTTCACACAAATAGCATTTCAATGCCACAAAAGAAACTGTTTGCAAAATCTCAACCTGCTGACCTCAGGTTCTGAGAATCCCTGATGCTGCAGGAGGCGGGTTCATCACTTCACGTGGCCTGGGCACTTATTAAACCTCTCGCAGTGGAGCTTTGCATATGGGGAATCAATCATAAGACACTGGAATCATTACCTATGAGCTCACCACGGGTGTGGGCATGTCACAATAAGTCACTGTGAGAGTGGCTCAATACCTGTTGATATATAGCCCTGGAACCTTCAGCAACCAGTACAGACACTTTTCCAAATTGTAACGACAGATGAATAAAATCATGATCATCATCACCACCATCATCATCTTCACCAGACAATCGTAACATGCCATCAGGAAGCCATTGAAAATGTTCGAGGCATTCTAAAAAAGAACAGCTTGCATGAATAAATGGCAGTGGCTGCTCAATGACAGTGGTGCCGACTGAGGTGTAAACGATGGCTGACAGATGCTCTGTGGCCACTCAGGTTTCAGGTTTCCCTCAATCCACTGTGCGAGTGGGAAGCACTGTGAGAGTGCCACATAAAAAAATGAACATGCAACATAGCTGATGCCACCTTTCTTTTCTATAACACTACCCCCAAGATAGGGATAACATTATGGGGTAAGCACTCTCACAGTCCACTTGGTTTGAGAACATTTTTGAACAACATCTCAGTGTGTCAATGTTTCCACTCGCTTGGTGCAAGTGGGGTGGCAAGATTCAAACTTATCAAACTGTTACTTCAATATTCAATGAAAAGTCATGTGTTTAAAAAGCACTCTCACAGTGCACTTGGCTTGAGATTTTGAACAACATCTTCTTGGGTGAAACGATTGGAACATTCACAGGGTGTCGCTTGGTGAAAATTGGGGTGGCAAGATTCAAACTTATCAAACTGTTACTTCAGTATGTTTTTGTTTTCAATGAAAAGTGATATAAAGGCACTCTCGCAGTGCACTTAGTTTGAGATTTTTAACAACGTCTTCTTTGATGAAACTATTGGAACATTCACAAAGTGTCAATGTTTGCACACACACACTTGGTGCAAGTGGGGTTTCAAGATTCAAACTTATCAAACTGTTGCTTCAATATGTTTTTGTTTTCAATGAAAAGTCATGTGTTCAAAAAGCACTCTCACAGTGCACCTGGTTTGAGGTGGTTGCAGAACATTTTGAAAGACAGTGTTTTGTGAAAAAACTATTGGACAGGTGTGTGTGTGTGTGCATATGTGTGTGTGCACAAATGTACAGATGTGACACATACATATAACAACCTGTGCGTGATCCTGCATCGATCTATATAATATGTCCTATAAGAATATGGCCCAGCCCATCCTGAGTTCGAAGCACAGTAACACTCCAGTACTCTCACAGTACTGGGCAATGATGCTCTCACAGCATCACCCACCAGCACTCTCACAGTGCTGGCGGCCTCTGGCTCTGCTCTCACAGCAGTGAGCCAGTAGCACTGTCACAGTGCTGGATCTTAAAACAGTTTGACACTCTCACAGTGTCAAACTGAGTGGCCCAGACTGGTGAAGTTGTAGTAGCTGTGCCTGAGACTGCGTACCTGGGGCATGATCACATGTTCTTTTTCACATATAGGAAAAGACTTGTATGGATTCAGAGAATGACCAAGAAATCATAAAGTGGTGAGTTAATGGCCCGCCCTGCCCCCCCCAAACTAAACTACCCAATTGAAAAACTGGTTGGAAAATCACCTCACACAGATATAAACCAAAAACAAACACAATTGAAGACTTCCACATTGTTACTGGGTGCAGCCACAAGCAAAAACACATCTGAGAATCTGGGAACCGCACGGTGCATTGATGGCGAGGCTGATACACTGTGTTCGTTTTGGTATGTAGGTATGTGGGTAGGTAGGTCTATTTGCATATTTGCACTCTCTCAGTGCATGTGGTATGGTCAAAATTTACACCAGTTTAGGTTTGACCATATGCTTGTGTTGATTTGTTTTTGGATATTTGTTGTTACCTGACTTGTGGGTTCAGAAACTATTTGGTTCAACTACTCTCCACATGGAATCAAAAACAAAAACCAGACATTGAAACTGTCAAACAAATTTGCTGTTTGCACTCTCTCAGTGCTGTCCACATGCATGCATGTAAAATACAAGTTGTTATTTTTTGCACTCTCTCAGTGTGGTCAAAATTGATGCAAATTGTGAAACCATCATAGGTGTGTTTTTGTGAGTTTTTGGTATTTTCATTCATTGAGAAATCAATTATTTTAACAATTTTAAGGCACTTTTTACCAAAAAAAAAAGGCCATTTGAAACAACAAAGGTTTGGTATCAGCTGTCTCCGTTCCCTAGCTCCAATGTGGCGATTTGCGATGCAGCACCACCCAGGCAACATTCACCCATCCTTCGCTACTCCGCGCCACTCCGCTACTCCGTGCTATGTTTTAATTCAGGTGCTCAATGTAATTGACACCATATCGAAACAATGGCGGAGTAAGAAAGCCTTCCATACTTCTCTTTCCCACATCTTTTCCCAAGCAGATTCCTACTCCATCCCGTTTTAAATTTATACTATTAATTAACAACGGGATTGACTGAAAAGATCATGATTCATGTTCTTTCTGTGCCACTGCCCTCATTGCTGTCATTGTCCAAACAGGGCGCGGCTTCCTGAGTGGAGGACGACGCGGAGCCACGCCGGACGACAGGGAAGACTGCTTCGGGACGGCAACTGTTGCGCTGACACGATCAATCCAGCACACTTACATTGTTTCTCCGGTAGACATGGCTGGTCTGATCGGTATGGCGCAGACGCTAGCAGTGGGCTAGCAGTCTTCCACTACGGGTATGACACCCTGAAACGAAGAGAGGTGCAATTTCATGGCACTGCTCAAATCCCAACCGATGCTGCAGCAATGCTTGACTGGGGACTTGATACTCCGTTTATGTCACAAGACCGGGCGCCATTGGCAATTGCCATGACTGCCACAGTTGACGGAATCCAAGGTCGAAGGTACCGCCTTGTCATTGCCCAGAAAGCCAAGCTGCGTCTCAGTCCGGAAGTCGCCACAGCACTTGCATCGAGGGCTGCTGATCATCGTCTTACTGCCAGTGGATTCTTCCCATGCTCCATTGATAGAGAGTTCCTGTAGGGCTATGCTGCGGATGGCTGCAGATCACCCCTGTGGATCTGTGTGCAGAAGGTACCGCAACCTTCGAAACCCTTGGGTCAGCGTCCAGGACGTCGTCCTTAACTCTCTAGAACCGTCCACGCTACCAAGTCAACCACTCCCAGAGCTCAGCCACTTTTACCAAACACACAAGCAACAGAAACAAGGAGATGTCTGCTCATGTCGCTATGGTTCTTGTTGGTGTGTCACGCCTTGACACAAAATGATGCGGAGTCGCCAGTCAGCATCTTTCTGCTAACTCTCACAAAAGCGATCAAAAACACATGTCCTCACAAAAAGTCTTTACATCAAGACATGGTTTGTTTGTTTAAATAAGTTTGAGTGTTTGAAAAACGTTGAAACATTTCAAGCACCAAAACATGATTCATGATGTCTCCCTCAGATATATTAGCAACTCCAGTTCTGAATGCCTTTCAGAACGTTGCTCTCGCTATCATCATTGAGAGACAAAACACACTACTCTTCTCCAATCAATGTCAAACAAAGTTCCTTCTTCCGAAGTCACAAAATGAATTCTACGATCTTCTCACGATTCCTTCGTGCACTTCGCGGTCTTCGTCGACGAAAACTAAAGCAAAAGGTATGGAAAATGGTTTGATTTTCCATGTCACTATACAAATTCAAATCCTCACAATGTTCTCCGTGCAATCAAAGTAGTCAAAGAAGACGAAAAGTATATCGTTGTTGGGTTTCGTCATCTCCAATAAAACGTGCAAAACATGAAACGTGCAAATACGATGTCAACCATCACGGTTGAGCTCATCATCAAGATGAAAACCAAATTCACTTCTTCCAATGCAGAAAAGACCAATGGATTCATCTCACCACAGATGTCACACAATTTTCACACCCCCTTTTGAGATGAACTCCATTCCATAGGTATACGCTGTAACCCATCCAGATTCAGCACATATCGCTCAAACTCGACAGGTCAATACATATAGTACGAGTTGTCCCGTTGTCCACCATCCAATGAACAACCAGCTCATAGTCTTTCCTCGCCTTTGCACCAATGAAGATATTCTCAATCACCCAACTGCCTCTGCACTGAAGTTCCAGTGAAGCAACCCTTTGGCTTTCCAACCTTTCCAGAGTCCTCCACAACCTTGCATGCGCAGAGAAAAGAATACCAATCCTTTGCAATTGGACTTGTATTCTTGTTTCCCAGGTGATTCATACTCCATTTGCGATATCCGGCCATCTCTTCATCGACATATACCTCTCGGTATGTCTTGCCTTCGTTGGCACACTTCCCAAACGCAAACTTCGTTCTGCTCCAATCTCGAAAACTCATTCCTTCGGGCACCAAATCAGCAGTAAGCTGATCAAGGACCTTGTCGGCAATCCCAGGAAAGATTGGGATAGGCATGACAGGCAACTGTGCATTCAAAGGTTCAGCTGCCGAAGAAATCACATCGAATTCATCATCATCCAGAGCCTCACGAAGTCGCTTGCTTCCGTCTGTCATTGCTCCTTGACTCTCCAAAGGAGTCAAAACACTGGATCCGGCTGCATAGCCTGACCCTGAATTTCCACTATTCCACTTCTTCTGAAGAAGAGCA